CCTATACCACCTCTTCCCTTGCCCGTTTTCATCTACTAACGGGTGAAATCGATCCCTTTCTACATTTTCTTCCTTCCTGCTATAGCCAGTTTCCGCCACCACTTCGCGCAGTCGTTTTTCAACTAACTTCTGTTCTACTTCAAGTTACTCTTCGTCCTTTCAAACTTGGTTAACGGTTTCGCTCCAGTCCAACACCTTAGAAATGAGCCTTTATTTGCGCGTTTCCATCGAGGAACTAGCGTAGCCCATCTCCTTCCCCGTCATCATGCTCATCCCTTCCACCATCTCCGCGCACGTCCTTCCCTCACCAACTCCTAGCTTACTAACTTTCTCCCTAAACTAACCTCCTATTCGTGTTCGCCCGTGGTCAAAACCCCCCGGTCATCTCTCTCCATCCTCGGATCCATCCCCAACTGGTTGCGCTCCCACTCCCCTGCTGCGCCCGAGTTCTCACCTCGCCATCCTTGCTTCCTCTCCTGCCGAATGCACTTGGCGCACTGTAGCGTCCGGATTCATCCGTCTCTCACCGGCCAGACTCGTCGCCCTCACCCAGCTGCTAACGCAGCCGCTGATCGCAGCGGACCCACGGCGCCCAACGTAGTTTGACGGGCAGGCCTGCCCCGTCCTGTAGCAGCTGCAACTACAATCTCGCACTCCTCCCACTTCCTTACTACCGATCCGCCTGCCTCTTGGTGTAGAGGCCGTCCGAACTGCCCGACCAGCCTGAGAAAACTCAGGGGAGAGCTAGCCACGGGGCGGTTTGATTAGTCTTTCGCTCCGATACCCAAGTCGAACGAACTGTCTGTCCGTCAGTGTCCCTGTGCACCTCCTCTTGGCTCCCACTGGATGCCCATTGTGAGCAGGCCGCCCCATCTTTCGGAACCCCAATGAGCGGCCCTCACACAGACGATAGTCACGACGACGGGGGCATGGCCCCGTTGCACCCTGTAGCGAAGCCTTGGTGCCCCGGCCGAGGCGCAAATCTTGATGGTAGTAATAAGTATTCAAATGAGAGTTTTGAAGACCGAGGGGAAGAAGGCTCCACAGGCCAGCTGAGCGCTCTGCATGGCTGCGCAGTCCCTCACTGTGTTCTGGGTCGCGGGCTGCCTCCTCTGGACCCGACGGTGTGCACACTCAACCTTCTCATACCAATGGTGGCCGACGGGCAGTGCGCCCGCAGAAAGACCCTGCCATTCAATTTTTTTCGCCTCGTGGGCTAATCATCCACCGGCTCGCATGCACGTTAATTCCCCCGGCCCACGTTCTCAAGACATAGAAGATAACAAAACTTCACCAACACCCCGAACACGCGGGGACCCGTAAGTCAGCCAAGGGGAGGCGCGCACTCAAGATCCTCGACCACCGTGACGACCATTAAACCCGGTGTCACGCCCAGGTCAAGGGAACTTCGAAGTAAAAAAAATGCTAAACATAATCTATTTAGAACCTTCTGATCATTAGAAAATAACGACCTAGGGAAAAGAAAATGCCCACCCCATTCTGACGCCACCAAAGGCAAAATCAAAAGGGGATAACCCGTCGGGCCCTCAACCCCTTGGTCCCTTTGCCGCTCCATTATTCCTGCACTGTCGCCCCATTGGCCTTGATCCCCGCACCTCCGTATCCTAAGTCCAATGCCGTAACCGATAGGGCTGAGCCCAAGCCTAAACTAGCGTGCGCAACCTTCTATGTATAATAGTGCAGCACTACGCTAAGGGCCAAGAAGGCGGTCAGGGCCTCATTTCTGCCTACAATCGAGCCTACGACCGTTAAACACCCCCGCAGGCTTACTCCAACTACGCCACGGCGATCACGGATGCTCTTCCCGTACATACGCATAGGTCATAGACAGGAACATCAATCAGCGAGACATAATCTTTTTAATCCTAGTTTAATCAATGGAAAAAAAATCTGGTCGGCAACCAACGCCGACTTCCACAATTATTGATCAATTTAAAAAGATCACGCGCGCCTCAAAACCGCACGCCCACACACTCTTTATTCTAGTCGACCATCAGACGCATAAACAGTGGAGAATGCCGCGACTCGCGCGATATACTCAACCTTAACCTAAACTTAATTTCTGTCATTTGCAAAAACCAGGACGAATACCCTTGTAAGGGAACTTGAATTCTCGCGGACAGCTTACCGGACCATATTAAGCGACGTCCCCGTCGCTCCGCCAAATCAGAAAGCTATGGATCCATCCAATCCCCAAATGCTGACGAGAAAGGAACCAATCCGATCAGCCGACGGACTTAGGTTCGAGGCCTCCAACCATCTGCGCCCACACAATTGTATGCCGCCAACCTAGGTTTCCATTGTCTTGACATTAGGACATCGGGGTATTACGCATCAATACTACGGCATAAGTTCCAAAGACCCTCTTAAACTGTCCTCTCCCTTTTGTCCTCGACAAGCGCCGACCTCTCGTTGAGTGTCCCGGCTAGACTCTATCTCGTAAGCAGAGTCATACGCAAGGACGTGGGCCTTAAATGGGACCTCATAAGGCACTCTCGCCTTCCTTACAAAAATTTCTCACAATCAAACATATATGCATATATACACTTAAATCTCATCTCAGCTCTTTCTGCAGTCTAGTACAAAAATGCTAGGTTCCCATCCTGGCCCACCATAGTTTGGTTGATCGAGCCAGATCTACGGCCTATCGCATTGTTATCTTAGCGACAGTACCCTTCGTTGGTTACGCAACGATAGGTTTTCTCTTGATAAGCATTCAATCAGGAATACCAAAAGACTTGACTCATTTCCCCGCCATCCCATCGGAGTAATTACCTGAGCCGTGCATAACCCCTTAAACTCTTACCCCTTTGGTAGACGAGGGTCCGCTGCCAGATTGTGTTGGCAATCAGCCATCCACTAGGGGTTGCGCCATAGAGGTGCTAACCTCTACCGCTTAGCTTGGTCTTCCTCAAAATGCCCCAGGATTAGCACAAGTATCCGGGTGGTCTGTCGCAACAAACTACAGGCCCTCTGCGGGACTACGCAGGGGCCTGTCTCACATAAAGGTGTTTACCAGTTTCCTATGGGACAACATAGAAAGCACGACACCCTTCTCACAATCACAAACAGGAATCACTGTCAGGTTCACAAGGTCGTGGCCCCTGACTTGATCAGAGACAGTAAATTACACATCCTAGTGACATCTATCAAATGCGCTGATTTCCAACACGCTCAATTCCATTCAAACCAGTTTTTCTGGTACTTCTCGTCAGACTTTATCAACTCAGACTTTGCTTATCATTCCCTTAAATATATTAACCACCTTGTACATGAAGGAGGTCTCTCTCAATGAGTCTCCCAACCATCCCTCTCTTTCCAGGATGAACTATCACGCGACCCGTTTTAAAACACCTTCCTTTTGAAGATGAGTCTTCCAATAACCAACATTACCACCTTCCTTAATCTGAAGGGGTTTCAACCATAAAACGACTCAAACTGAGAGACCAACTTATGGGTCCCCTTCACAACTCAACCATAAAACATTCGGCATGGTAAGTATTTGAGTCTCCTAGACTCACAAGATCCCTTAGGATCCTCACAATTCTGTCACAAAACAACTGCACTACCTCTCCTTATACTCGGCCCTTTCACCTGCCCGTAGGCAGATCGCACGAGTATACCGAATAGTAGACAACATTCACATTCACACAATACAAGACATATGAGATGTATCCCACACATCTCCCACACAAAACCATCATACAACAGGATAAATCCACACATGCGAGAGTGATAGTGATCGTCACAAGAATAAGCCTCATAGGGTCTGAACTCAAAATACATTTGGGAGCAGAATGCCTCCCTAAAAAATCCAATACAAGTACTCAACCCATCGTCCCTCTCTTCTGAATAGAACTCATGCCCTCAATGTACAACCCACAAAACACCCTCAAGAATAAAATATTTCTCTCGAAAACAAAACAGGTACTCGGCCCACTGTCCCACTCTGCTGAGTAACTCACATCCCAAGTATTATGGATTCTCGAATCCCACTAAAAAATTCAAGTAATCTGAATTACAGAATTTAAAACGTAAACCGACTACTCAAACATATCACACAACCGAAAGTTATCGCCTAAGTCATACAAAGGAAAACTTCAGATCTATCAAGTACTACCACCTACATATATACAGCTAGACGGGGCTCACTTGACCGACTCAGGGTATGGACACCTCTAGGACTCGCTTGGCGGACTCGGGGCATGTACATCTCTAGGACTCGTCCTCTATGTACAAAGGGAATTCTAGTCCTACTGCCTCATAGACAAACCAGCCCCTACTCACTCATTTCCCCCTGGTCTTGCCTATATAGTTGAGCGCTACCCCCATCTGCAGTCCGCTCTACCACCCTGCCCTGTCTATCATAGAATTTTCCACCTCTCGCTGTAACCCGCCCCGCTACCTCGTACTTGAGAAACCCCTCACACTGTAGAGCCTGATGCCCTTCCTCCTTGCAAAAGAAACAGGATGAATCAAACCACTTTTTAGGCTTCCCCTTCCCTTGGGGGTTCAGAATCGATGATMCCCCCGCCGCTTCAGTAGCCTCCTCGTAACATAATGGCAATCCCATGCAATCCTGAGGTCCGGGCTCCGCGGCCCCGGCGCCCTCACTACCATGTGCGCCCGCGTTCCCTGGCCTATACTCAGGCGTATCCAGTCTCTGGGTCTCTCTAGCGACATGTCTACCTCCATGACTGCCACTAGCTCGTCCAAACGAGATGTTTCCGCCTCCATTGTCTCAGACTCAGTTGACACTACTGCCCCTGTAAGGGTACCTCCCCATACCTCCAAAAGGATCGTAGGGGACTCCTCTGCGGAACCTTCTTCTGCTGGTGGAGATTGGGGTCTTCCGGTTGGTTCCTTCGCAGGGGTCTCAATCGACATAGGGGTCGCCTGCTGCGAGGCTAACTCTGTGGGAGCTCTGAAGCTAAAACTCCTCTCTTCGGCTTTCCTCCTTGCCTCTGCTTCCGTTGGATCCAGGAACACCTTTTTTATCTCTTTCTGCTGGGGAGGCTCTACCGCCCCTCCCTGGCCAAAGAGTCCCTACACCCTCTCACCCTGGATACCATATCTGCTCTGCTCCGTCTGATCGACCACCTTAGTGGCCGAGAGCCTCTCCACAGCCGCCGCCATATCTTGGAGCCTCTTTTCCCACTCGGCTTCCCTGACTTCCATATGAGTTCTCCAGGCTCGATTCTCTGCCTTCTCCTCCGCTAGCTGAGTAGACAACTGCTCCACCTCCAACTTCCTAACCGCCAGTTCATCACCGAGCAGGATATATCGATGGAATGATGTTGTCGCCGCCTGGCATATCCTCCTTTCAGCTCGCTCGATCGCCATCCTGGCAGCAAAAAATCTCAAGTCTCCAATCTCCCTCATCTCGTCCGCCCTCTCGTCTTCCTGTCCCGTCTCTTGCGACCTCTGGCGGGCGGCATCCCTCCTGCTCTCGTACCTAGCCCACATCTGATCGATCTTTTGCTCGCTCGTCCTGCGATCGATCGGCGGCGTCGGTGCCACACCTGCGGCCTCCATCCTAACTTGCTTCTCATATATCTCCGCGAGGTGAGCCTGCACCCTGACAGACTTCTCCTCAGCCGTCTCTCTTGGTGCTCTCCCTGTCCGCGCCTCGTGGGTCTCTCGAGTCGGAGCCTCAACACTTGCCCCCTTCTTTACATGCGGCAACTCTGACGGTGGCTCATCGGACGCTGGCATCTCAGTACCCGAGTGCTCGGCCGCATACTCGGCTAACCGTGAGTCGACGATCGTACGCGCCCTCGCTCTTTCGTCCTCCTCCTGCCCCTTGTCTCTGCCACCTTCCTGGGCGAAGTGATAGCCTCCGGTGCAGGTGCTAAAACCTCTCCACTATCTGGCTCAGAAATCCCTTCTGGCCAAGGTTGCCGTACCTGCTCCGGGACCGGGGTATGAGGAGGGGTATCGTCCCCAACGGTAATAACCTCCTCAATCTGTAGCTCCCCTGGCTCACGCGGCTCAGTCTCTGGCTCAGGGCCTTGTAGCCCTTCCGCCGGCTCGTATTGTGTAGGTCCAACCGGACCCGCCCCCAACTGCGAAGTCCCTCATTGAGACGCATCAAGGTGGGCTTCCAAACTCCTGAGCGGCGTCTCCGATAGCACATCCTCCCCTTCCTCTGGCAATTTCGGCAAAGGGCCCCGTAAGTCACTGCTAGTGATCTGACGAAACTTCACTTGCTCAAATCCATAAGTAGGGGGTGGCTCTGCTGCCTGAGCCGGCTCCACCGGTTCCTCCTCTCGCCGTGCCAAGGCTTTTCGGCCTCTCCTAGTCACAATGCCCCCCCCTGTCCCTGGGCCCAGTAGCCTCTCACTTCTCTGCCTTCTTTCAACCATGGGCTCTGGCATCTCAGGCTCTGGCCGTCGGAACGCCTGCCTCAACTGAGCCTGGCAATCTTCCCAATCACGCGCCCTATCCCGAATCTGTCTTGCCAATGGTCTCTCTGCCCTTCGTGTCCCGAGGAGCAATGTTTGCATCCACTCTTCCTGCACGGTCCCCTGATCGCGCATATACTGCTCGTAGGCGGGAATGAACTCCTCCGCATTGCCTTCCTCTAGCCGAATAGGCAACCCATCGCATCCCACCGGCGAAGCTCTCAACCTCTGCATCCTTACCTCCACATCTGGCCAGGTCAAAGCCTCCTTTCGAATATGAGCGATAGGCTCCTCGAAACGTCCAACCCCTCTCAGATTCCGTATCATATCCAGGGTAGTCCATCCCTCTCATGTCGCATGAGTCTGGTAGGTGTCTAAGAAGAGCTGTATGCTATCATCGTCAAAGATAGGCACGGACTCTCTCCCAAATGGTCTACGCTCGTCATCCCCTTCAGATGCTCCCAGGGGCCTCTGTCGTGGCCGCGCGCCCCTCCCGCCCCTCAACATGGATGCCTTCGGAAAGTCAGACCTGCACATCAGGCGAGAGGAAGCAAACAGGCACACAACAAGATCAGCCATCAGGTTCATCGAGTCTATGACAAACACATACATACCTACCCTTTCCTTTCCCTACTTAGTCTAACTAGGACATACGACCCCTTTAGACAATGGTTTATTCTGGGCGGTATGAAGCTCTTTTACCTATTCTCTAGCCACGAACTTTTTTAACCTGGTCCCTGACACCCAATCCTGTCATCCTGTCCCGTCCAACTCCTCGATCTGGTAGGCTCCGAATTCGCCGCACCGCAAGATCCTATAGGGACCCATCCACCTTTTGTCGAGCTTTCTCGACCATTGCTTCTCCAAAGAGGAGTCGTACAACAATACGACATCCCCAACTGTCAATGGTTCCTTCCTCACTCGCGCTATCTGGTCTCATCGCATCTTATCATCCATGCGGCTCCTTTCCACCTGATTGGCGGCCTCTCGTAACCTTTCTTCAACAACCCCTACTTGTCGGACCTGAATATCGAGCAGCTCTTTGAAAGACAGACCGACTTCCAAGTCTTGGCACCTCCAGGTTTCCATAAAACTTTCTATGGAAAAGGTGGCATGCCTTCCGTACCACAAAGTAGCTGGCGCGTAATTGGTAGTTCTCTTCACTGTGACATTCTCCACAAAGAAAGTTGCTCGCAGGAACTTCGGCCACTGGCCGGGCTTGCCTTCCGTCCACTTGGCTAGGAGGTTCGTGATGGTACCGTGCCCCCTTTCCGCATGTGCATTTACTTGAGGATGTGCAACAGTAGTATAATTCGCCATCACGCCATATCTTGCAAGCAAAGTCCGCACCCATTACAGGTAAACTCCGATCCTCGATCCATCACGAACTCTTTGACGAAAGGGTAGCGTAGGTAATACTCTTCGATGCAGCTTGCCAGAACTGGGCCGGTCTTCGTGCGAGTAGCCCGACCATCTACAAACCCAGTAAAGTTATCTCGCGCATCGAAGATGTAATTACATTAGTTTTCCCCAGCCGGCATGAAGAGTAGATCTAGGTGTACAACTACGCCTACTTCCCTTTCCAACCTTGGGTGCAGGGACTCCCCCCACCTTTGCGTCGATCTCTCTTGGCAAGGTACACAAGACTGACAATACTTGATGACCATGTTCAACATTCCATCTCAGTAGTATAGCTCGCTTATTTTAGCGTATGTGGCATTTATTCCCCTGTGCCCTCCTGCTATACCGTCGTGCAATGCCGCGATGATGTCGATCTGTCGGTTCCTCCCACATACAATTCTCTTGGGATTCCCGACCTGTCGTTTTATGAACAAATGATATCTTACCACATAGAGGTGCCTTATCTTTTGCGCCTTAGTACTTGCATCTCTATTCCTCATCTCACAGGACAGGAGCAGTCCTAACCCAAGGTAGATTCCATCATATTCTTCCGCACGAAAGACTTCCTTGATCTCTCCTTCCTCGAACTCATCATCCTGGCTTTCAGGGGTGAAGCCTCTCTCTCAATAGGACTGAATGAGCCTTTTTGGTCAAAGTCTCATTGCAGAAGCATATTTGTAAGCAGATACATTCCTCCCATTAACTGCTCATGCTCCTTTACCTGAGTGGGGCCCTCCTCTATCGTCCTCACTTCCTCCCCCAGACTGTGTGTACCAACCAATGTCAATTTCATCATCTAGTGGACATCCTTACTTCCCCATGGATCCTCTTCTTGAAAGGGTTTGAGGACCAACTCCTCCTTTTGCTCATATCCCCTAGGCGCTAGCCATATGAGGTACCCGACGCAACTAGTCACTCGCAAAGACCAGTCATTTATATGGAGGCAGACGTCTTCTTCTTGGTCCAATAACCCATCAATTGACGGAGTGTCTTCTATCGACTCTTAATCTGGTCCATCCCAGTTAATGCGGCTCAACCCGTCTGCCCTGTTCTTGTCCCCTAGAATCCTCATATGAACCTCATGCCAAAAACATAGTTCCGGAACAGGCGAGTGCAACGGTTGGGTCAGATGGAGTATAATTCTTCAGGGAACAGGCGAGCGCAGTGGGGTCCACCCTCAATATGAACCTCATGTCAAAAACGTAGTTCCGGAAGATCCTCAGGCAATGGAGTACCGCAAGCATCTCCTTTTTAAACTGAGAGTAGTTCCTCTCAGTCGTATTAAGAGTCCGACTCTTGAATCTTAGCGGTCTCTCCTTCCCATCGGCATCTGTCTGAACCAAGACTCCTCCCAGGGCAGTTGGCCCAGCGTCCGTCTCGATGATAAACGACTTCTCCTCTGTAGCTTCATAATTTGGCGCCCCTAACACCAAACCTCCTCTTTTAAACTCTTCCTTCATCCACTTCACAGCCTCGTCCTGATCTCCACCCCAAACCCACTCTTGGTCCTGACGTACCAGCTTTCTCAGATGCTTAGTCTTGGCGGCAAAGTTCTTTACAAAGCTCCTCCAGAATCCACAAGTGTCGAGGAAGCACATATGTCCGTTATCGAACGAAAAGGTACTGGCCACTCCAGGATTGTCTTCTTCACGTCAAGTCTTCGACCACTCTCATTACAGACAAACCCCAAGATGGTTGCGTCCCTCATGCAGTGCTTGGACTTTGGACCACTTGCTGTAAGGTTATATTCTTCCAACAGGCTCAGGACCCGATCAAGGTCCTGGACATGCTTCCAGACAAAACGCCTTACTCCAGGCATTACTTCGTAATAAATTAGCCCTCTGGGCATATGCATTGTCGTTACATGCCTACCTGGCGGATATACAGGAAACTCGTCATACCCAGAGAAAAGGTCTATAAGTGAAATTATACGCCTCCCTGCACATGACTCTGACAATGCGTCTGCGTTTGGTAACCCTCTCGCGCCTCGCACTATCACCGCATTTAGCCGTTGCAAAAATCGTGTACCCACCATAGCGTCCCGTTCGGCTTAACGAAGCAAAACCAGGGGGAAGCATACGGCCCGCTGGAAAAGTCAGCAACGTGCGTGCGCATCTTGCCATCCAGGTAGTCCACCACCATCTTTTCCTCATCAGGGTTGGGATATCGCGCGCCTCTTAGATTCCATGCCTCGTGTGGGACTGTGTGGATCCGAATCGTCGGGATCTTGTCCACATCCAGTCTTCCACGCTGATAGTCATTAAAGGCGTAGGCGCGATGCCTCCTTTTCATTAACCCCACCATCAGAGTTTTCTCCTGGGGTGAAAGGAAGTCAGACTCTCCAATTATCAGCTTTCCTTCATTCTCATCGTTGCTACGGCATAGACCACTTGCTGCTTGCTCCCGCATGCGCCTTATCAATCCTCGTTCCCGCTCGTAATACGCTTCCTCATGTTCAGTAACGAGCACGGGAACTGGGCGACACTTCTTATCTACAGTTTTGTACCGCCTTTGGGAACCCTGCTTAAGCCGTCCCCTAAAAAAGACCGGCTTGCGGTTTGTGCTTGTGCCATCTCAGGATCTCCCCTTCTACCTGGGAGTGGATAAACCAGCTCCACTTCTTCCACCTGAGGGTTTTCCAAAACCTGCTCCCTTAGCGCCCTAATGGCCTCGGGGTCTGCCATGTCATGCGCTGCCACCACCTTCATGACCTTATTTACATCAGTGAGGCTTAGTGTCAGCACTTAGGCCCTTCCTTCCTCCTCGGGCAACTTCCAAAGCTTCCGTCGCTCGTTCTCAGATCCCTCGAAGGTGAACGAGTTGAGGTTAGGCCTGTTTTTCCCACTCCTCGGCCCCGTGTTCCGGCAAGTAATGACTTCGTAATTCCCGCAGGCCAGGTCGCACAAAAGTAGGATCATTGTCCCATCGTGCTTATTAAAAATCAGAGTTTATGTCCGACACAGGAACGATCTCCCCAAGAGAATAGAATGGTCGACATCTGGCATGATGAAGAAACAAGTCCTTACCCGTACCTTGCCAATTTTTACGATCACATTGGACGCCGTGCCACAAAAGACCGCCTTGCAATTGGCGCCATGTTTCCGCTGCACTTCTGATCCTTCACCACCAAGTTCACCTGGCCACACGCCACACACTTCCAGTCCATCCTCGTCCCTCCTTCAGTCCACTCTACCTCCCTCGGCAGGATCGTACTTAGATGGACATTGGGTAGTAACCTTCGCGAGAGCCGCCCCTTCATACCATCACGGAGCCTTGGGGTTGACGCCAAAATGTCCTTCAAGTTCATTACGTCATTGTGGCCTTCCAGGAGTCTGTCTACCATCCTTTCCACCTCAAAGCCCTCTTCCAGCCGAACCGCGTACTTCTTCCTCTTAGGTACGCTGTCAGGCTGGCTTGGCTCAGCTTCCGCCTTAACCCCTATCTTCCTAGCTCTTAGCTCCGCCCGCCGATCTTCCTCTTGCCGGAGCCTCTCATCCTCCTTGTCGTCATCTTCATCTTCCTCTTCCAGGACTTCCACCACCTCCCTCCTGCGTTCGGGCTCAGGCTCCTTTCGAGGGGGTGCCTGACAAGGTGCCTGGCTGGACGCTTGACTAGTTCCAGCCTTGTTCTGACTTCTGGTACACGCCGCCTGTGGTACTCTTCCATGCGACGTGGGGGGCCTATAGGTCATGCTCGATCTAGGGCCTGACCCCACAGTCGCAACCCTTGGGTACCCTTGTTGCCCCGACAACGACACAAACTCTTTAACCGTTGCTGGTACCTAACACTTTCCCCAACAAGTCCTCCATCTTCTCCAGGATGGTTATGGTCGACTCTCCTAACTCTCCCAACTCCTCATCATCCGACTCAACGACTATCTGCTCTTCCTTTATAGTATCTGCCTTTAGTCGCTGAGTCACCTCCTCGTTCTCTCCCACAATCTCCTCGACCCTTACGGCCGAGTCCTCTCTTTCCTGCCACATCCTGAACATCGTCGGGGGTGCCGGCCCTGTCGCTGCCCGCATTTGGGCCTCTTGCCTGACCCCGCCTGGAGTTTTTGGGTCATTATACTTCCCAAATTTATCGTATATATCCCCGTCCATATTAGTGGAAATCAACCCGGAGACCTCATCGTCCCGCCGTCCTTGGCAAAACCGTATGGTGTGGCCTTGATAGCCGCAATGCCAGCAAATTGCATTCCGCCAATCGAAGCGGGGCTTTCCGTACCCTTGGCCCCCGTCTTGACCACCTTGGCCGTCTTGGTCCTGGCCCCCCTGGCCATTCCATCCACCACCATGACCTCCGCCGTTTCTTCCTTGGCCTCGGCCACCGCCTCCTCGACCTCCCTGGCCGCGGCCTCCATTGCTCTGCCCGCCTTGCCCTTGGTTCCCTCCTCCAGCCACGCTAGCCTGCGATACCTGCTGCGAGGGTGGAGGTTGGGCCGCGAATTGGCCCTGGGCTGCCGAGAAACTTGGTGGCCCCGCACTCGCCAGTGGACCTGAATAGGGGACCATCGGCCCTGAGGGAACTTGGCCCCCTCCCCATGAATTGCATTGGTCATATGGGGGTCAGGGCGCCATGGGGTAATAGGGCAACCAGTGTCCGTATGATGCTGGTGGCCCCATCATCGAGGGCCCTGCTGACATAGGCGCACTTCCAGCAGCGGCCAGAGGCGCCGCGATCGTCTGCAGGACATGCCCCTTTCCCGAGCCCCGCCCGCCTGTCAATAGATTGCACTGCTTGTGCTGCGCTTTGGTCAGGACATGGGAGCCTGTCTCCTCCCCACCGTAGTCCTTGTGTCCGGTCTCCTCGTCCACCACCTCTGATACCCGACCTTGGACCACGGTCACCACCTTCTTCTGCACCTCGGCATCCTTGTCATACCCTAATTATGCCAGCACGTCCGTGACAATCCTTTTTCCTCCCGGGGTCCCAGATGCGGTGGCGTCCCTTTCCTTTCTTTTCCGCCTTTGTAGACGCATTTGGTGCTGCTCTACCTGGTCCAAGCTTCCATCCTCCACTCCCTTATCAATAGTAGCTCAGGTGAGCTTCGCACTTCCACCTCCGTGGCTCGTCAGCTCCGAAGCTTCTGAGGCAGTGAGCAACCCCCGAAAGATAACGCATTGTGGTTCTTCAAAAAATTCATGCACCATCCTCGCCTTTTTCTTAAACTCTTGCACAAACGCCCCGATTGTGGTGAAATCGTCCTTATTCATAGCCTCCAAATCCGCTGTAGTTAGCAGGCCATCACCCAGTCTATACTTCTTTTGCATTCCATCCCTAAACCTTGCCCAACTGCCATTGGCGGCTTCCACAACCTTGCCCACTTCCTTATGATGCCCATGAAGGACGTACCTCAAAATTCGCTGGAATTTTACTTCAACTGACAACCCCACCAGCGCCTGCTCAACCAGGTCTAGCCAATCGGAGACCCGCTCTCCATTGAAGTGAAACGTATCAGCCTTCGGAACATTGCTCGGCGCCCTTTCTTGCCTGTCCAGGGCTTCGATAAGATCGTCGAGTGTCAGGACCTTTCCTGAACCGTCGCCCACACCTTCCGTCATCTTGGCTGGCTGCTCCTTTCTTAACTGACCTGTTATAAGAAAAAGATAAAAATTTTTACTCAGCAATCTGGCTTAACATATTTCTATCAGGCTCCCTATATCACTCCTACACTCCCTAGGCCTAACGAATACCACCTCTACTCATAGGCCTACCCTGATAGAGTCTGCTTCCAACATAGGACTTCCTATACAATCCTCCCAATCATGCAATCAATCAAGCTACCAATCAAAATCACCAACAATCAAAACTTACGCACATAACCACGCAAGGCACCATACAGTCCATCTCACGGGCTATCCATATCTCCATTACATGCTTACTTCTCTCGATCCAATATCCGGATGTCGTTCCACCAGGGACAACGGTAGGCTTCCGTTATCCCCAGCAACGGCGCCACCTGTCGAGCGCATCGGTCCGGCACTGCACAGGGCAGCACGGGACCCTCTCGATCGCGTCACGCAAGAATTGGACTGTCCCTTCGTCGCGAATACATACATGGAGCTTCCGCAAGCCGCTCCGGCCGAGTGCGCCAGCCATACCTCTCGCGAGCCCCTACGATAGGATAGGGCCTACACGAGGCACGACTTACCTCCACCTTACAAGAGTTGTCACCTCCCTTCGGTAGGCGTATCCCAGCCGAGCTACCAGTCCACAATACGAAAGTTAATCAGCTGCAATCGCAGAGGTGGACTAGCCGAGGGCATTTCTCGTTCGCTGTAGCATAGGGGGTACGCGCGGTATTACGCCTTTATCGAACCCGCACGCGAACCGCCATCTTGGGGGGCTGAAATCCCAAGCGTGGTCCGGCGCCGGTCGACTAGGATGCATCCCATGCACCACGCGCACACCACTATAAAGAACATAAAAATAAACACACACACGCACACACACGTACATATACATATATATAATGACACTGCACAAACAACGCGACAAGACTCCTAGTCCCTTAATAGTCATCCCATAACTCTCCGATGCGGAAATCGGATAGGCGTCACGCGTGAGACTTAGTATAAAACCGCACGAACACAGGGCCTACTCATATCGACTCGCAATGCAAGCGTACACAAGCGGTCGCAGTGATGACGTACTATGTAGTACCCATACTCATGCGGCCCTCGTTAATCTCGAGAGTCACATTCGACACTCAAGTGTCGGCTGACACGCACCTTGAGGGTTAATCTCTCGACGCTGGACAACCGCCAAGTGCGGTTGAAAACCACACCCTCTTCTGCACCCTGCGGAGAGTGGGTGGTACACAGGTTCATACCTGTGGTGGCAATCGTCTCTTATCGCCCTGGAGACCATCTCCATCATCTAGGGCCTGGAAAGAAGTCAAGGGGTTTGGCTTTGACGACTGCCACGGACTACAACGTCCAACTATATAATTCTAAAAAACAAAGATCGGCCGAAGGGCATCCATATCCCAAAACCTCAACCTTGGGTAACCTTGTCGGTTCGCACTAATGGCCTATCCCGACTCCAGACACATACGAATTACCTAATCCCATAACTCTAGACGCTGGGTCGGACGAATGTCGCGCGCAGGACTTTTAATATAAAGTTGTGCGGCTGTAAGCCCTTCCTACACCAGCCGGTAATGCTAGTCATACGTGGCAATCGCAGTTTTGGCCTCGCGATATTGAATGGTTGAATGAATATATCGTGAGGGGTTGCCCTTCACGATATTGAACGGCTGAAGAACATGTCGTTCAACCCTCGTGATATTTCTGCTCTCTGATTGGGTGTCTTGACGGGCAGGGCGGATAGGCTCTGCGCACGGGAAAATTCTTCGTCTGCAGAGACTGGGGTCTGGGACGTCCTGGACAAGGACCTCGAATCCAGGCCCAAGGCTAACGTCCGACTAAGAAACCCCTAAGAAGCATACGACCACACAGAGGGGGGTTTTCTTTCTTTGCACAACATAAACCCCTATTTAATTCTCAGTGCGCGGGCCTCGCAGGGCAAGCGAACTCCCAACATAAGTTCACTGATATTTATACCTATACATAAGGGGGATAAGTAAGTGACAATCACTTCTCACAATCACAGTGGGACTCCTCACGGCCATATATATATGTGTGATCGCAGGCAGGCCAATCCAAATCTGAGCCACATTACATACCTGCAATCACATCGAAGAGACAACAACAATTCACGCACTACACGGGGTCAACCCCAACCAATCTCTACACTCATGCCCCTCGCTTTAGCCATACAAGCCCCAACCTCCTGTCCAGCCAACCATAATTAAATACTCAGTACCTTTGTTAAATGACCATTCAATAAAGTCCGGGTAAAAACACAATGAAACAGATCAAACCACAGGGTTAAAGCCTTTAGGTTGAGTGGCAAGAATGGATTGGAGGTAAATCGTAAACCGACGAATCGGCAACCGGCCTGTTATCAATGATAACAGAAGGCGATCCTTTATAGGATCGAGCTGAATCTAGTCTAGATCTTGAATCAATCGATTAAGAGGACCTTTAACACATGACAGGTCAATCCCCCAAGCTAAGTCTATAAGTCCAGGGAGAAAAATCCCCTTATCACGATCTCACTCAAACTATCACAATTAACTAATGTTTAAGTCTACTTCTAAGCAAGTGTCAAAGGAAAGGTAGAGTCTGGCAAAATCTCCCCTATACAGAGTGGGTTTTTTAGAGTCGCTACCTGTCAAAATATAATCTAATCTCCCCTATACAGAGTGAGTTCTTTAGAGTCACTACCTGTCAAAATATAATCTAACTCGTCTAAATTAAGAAAATTTTGGCAGCGCTTCCCGTAGGAAAAGTGCCCTCACAAAATTTATACTAGCTCAAAGATCAAACTTTTAATTCTAAATAGTCTAAATTTTGTTTAACTCTCTGAATTAGTAAAGATTTGGGCAGCACTTCCTTTAGAAAGGGAGACTTCCCAGATTTATACTAGGACAGACATGAACTCAAACATAAAATCTGAGATCAATCAAGACAAATTTAACTAACTCCCTAGATTTGTAGAAATTTCGGCAGCGCTTCCCGTAGAGAAAGTGTTATTCCAAAATTTATACAAACCTAAGTTAAGAATCTGAAATGACTTTGATTTTCCAAAGTCCAATTTTGTCTAACTCCCCGAATTAGCAAAAATTTGGGCAGCACCCCCTTTGAAAAATGAGGCATTCCATATTTTTACTGAGCCAGAAAGTCAAAAAGAACCGGACCCTGAAAAAAACAAAGTTTGACTAACTCCTTGGTTTTGTAGAAATTTCGGCAGCGCTTCCCGCAGAGAAAGTGGCTTACCAAGATTTATACAACACCAAGTATAATAAAAATCCCAGAAAATGCAGAAATCGATGTAAGTAAAATAGACTTAGCTCAGAAAATGCAGAAATCGAGACTTACTCCTATGACTCTAGCACGTGGCGGGCAACTAAAGCAACTACCTATCAAACTGAAACTCAGACTAAAGTAGTAGTCGCACTCAGTCACATGCAGGCCAAACCACAAACGTAAGTACTTTCACCATCCCAAGTAAACCTTAGCAAATAATAGTTCATGATCTTTTAATGATTTACCCCCTTATACCTAGCTTACATAAGGCATAAGGTCAGGACACCCAAACTTATGGAATGTGCCTTACTTAGCCAGACATAAAGTCAGGCCACCCAAACTTATGGAATAAGCCCAACTTAGCCAAGGTGTATACACAGAACGGAGGACACAACTACTTTTCTCTTCTTTGGGCATACGACTAGACCATTCTAGTCACCCTGAACTATTTAATAGCCAGATTATATATACCTCTCTAAACTTAATCTTCAAAGTGGGCGTAGGATTGAACCATTCATCTTAGAAACATTGCTCAGCCGACCCAAGTTACCTTCAGTTATACTCTT